TCACGTAAAATTCTGGGGAAACGGTCGCATAAAATTCTGGAGACTCGTGTAAAATTCCGGAGAAACGATTGTGTAAAATTCTGGAGAAACAAGTAAAATTCTGGGAAAGAATTGCTAAAATTCTGGAGAAATGATTGCGTAAAATTCTGGGGAAATGATTGCGTAAAATTCTGGGGAAATGATTGCGTAAAATTCTGGGGGAAGAATTGCTAAAATTCTGGAGAAACGATCACGTAAAATTCTGGGGAAACAATCACATAAAATTCTGGAGAAAGAAGTAAAATTTTGGGGAAACGATCACGTAAAATTCTGGAGAAACAAGTAAAATTCTTGGGAAACGATCGCGTAAAATTCCGAAGAAACAAATAAAATTCTGAGGGAAGAATTGCTAAAATTCTGGAGAAACAGTCGCATTAAAATTCTGGGGAAACGCGTAAAATTCTGGCGCCACGGGCCGAGGACTCTCCCACAAAACCACCCCGGGGCTTCTCCTTTTCCTTCCCCGGAAGAGCGGAGCTGAGCCCGCACCAACGCGCTTTCCGAAACCCACAGATTTTGTTCACCCGGACCGAAAACGGGGAGAAAAATCTTTTTTTTCTTCTTATTTTTTTTTCTTTTTTTTTTTTCTGTTGCGTGGGGGGAAAGCGGCCGTGGAGCTGCTTGAGAAGAGGTTGAGCTTCTTCCAGTAGAGTATTTTGGAGGAACTTGCCCCTCGGTTCTCTCGATGCGTCGTGCAGCCCCTTCCCAACACTTGAGGCTTCCCAAGCCAGTTCCACTCCTCTTCCTCATCCTCTTCCTCCCTCCTCTTCCTCCTCTCCCCACATCCCCACTTCAACTTACCGCAACTCTTCTCACCTTGCAGCTCCCCGAGCGCCAACGGAGACCGCGGCAAAAGATCACGGGAGGTGAGTGGTGCCAGGCGTGAGCCTTCCTCCCCCCTCGGCGTAAAACCGGGTTTTCCAAAGCCGAAGGTCAAGTTTAGACCCGTCCGTCTCATCCCTCGAGTTCTCCAACGTTTTAACCAAGACCCGGCATGGTGGAGTTGACTTTGATCGTTGCCTTCCCGCAGCGCCCTCGGCCCGGAGGACAAATCGGAGCAGGAGGCTGAGCCCCGAGGAGGAGAAGAGGAGGAGGAGGAAGAGGAGGATGAAGACTTCGCCGAGGACGATGACCTGGCCTACACTGATGACCTCCGTGATGAGAACTACCACCCGTCCCTGGACAGGTGAGGAGCGCTGGGAGCTGCTGGGAAGGAGCCCGTGGACTGGGACCGGGTGAGAGATCCCAGTCACACCGTCCCAGTCCAGACTGGTATCGCACTGGGAGGGTTTCAGACCTTCCAGCTCTGCCGCCCTCGGACCTAGGAGAGATGGGAGATGGGGAAAATGTCCTTATGTGGCTTAAAAAAGGTGCTTCTGGGCTCAAAGGCTTGTGGGGAGGCACCTTCCTTCACCCTGCCTGGGGGAGGGTCTTTGCCACGTCCAACCACGTCCAACCAACGTCCAACCCATGGCCCACCACACCCAATCAATGTCCTACCACACCCAACCCCTGTCCAACCACATCGGTTACGTTCTACCGTGTCCAAATAATGGCCAACCACGTCCAACCAACGTCCAACCAATGTCCTGCCACGTCAATTAGGTTCTACCACGTCCAAAAAAGTCCAACCAATGGCCAACCGATGTCCTCCCACACCCAACCACACCCAAGCACCTAAACCATCTTGCCTACCCCGCGTCTGTTTTCTCCCGCAGTGACTCGGAGCCGCAGCGACGGCAAAGCCAGACCAAAACCCGTAAGAAAGCCGTGAAGGAGGAGCAGCCCCCAAATGAGCCGAGCCTAACCAGCTCCAGCCCACCCGAGGAGAAGAGCGGACGCGTCGGGTGAGTCACGGTGTCCCCGAGGTGCGGTGACCCCTGGGATGGCCGTCGGGGGTGTCTTGTTTTGGGGCACCCATCTCCCCGTGGCCACCAAACGAGAGTTTCCACCGAGATGCTGACGGGAAACGAGCCAACCCGACACTAAATTCCAGCCTTGAGCTCCGCGTGGGCCAGGAGCCACGCGTCCACCGAGAGGGTTCAAGCCTCCTCACGGTGCCGCCGTCGGCAGGGGCGGAACGGCTTTGCCAGGGAGCTTAATGAAGGGGCTTAACGAGTCGTTATTTTGTCCTCTGGGTCTCGTGGAGCTGCGGGGAGCAAGGACGTGCTGCTTGGGCAGGGCTGGGAGAGCCCTTAAACCAGCACCGCTTTGAGCGTCGAAGCCTTTTCTTTCACACCTCTAAAAGCCTCCAAGGAACCTGGAGGTTTCAACCACGCAAAAAAAAAAATTAAAAAATCCGGATGTTCTCCCCGCCACGCCCTCCACGTAAGCACAGAGACTCCTCCCTCCTACAGACACAAGGAGTGGCTTGATAGGGCCATCACCAACAACGGCACCGCCGACCTCAACCTGTTGGCCAAGGGGCAACTGGAGAACAACCACAATTTCATTTTGCGTGCGCTCTTGAGGCCGAGGGTTAGGTTTTATTTCTCCTCCCCAGCCACGCCGGCTCAAAATTCACTTTTCTGTTCTCAAAAAGCTCAAATCATCTTTTTTTTGCCGGGTTTTGACGCAAGAGTATCGGAATAGACGTCGGTCTCGATGCTGAAGACCACGTGTTGCCTCTTGGGTCTGACACACCAGATGTCACCTCGCTGGATGTTTTTTTTTTGGTTTTTTTTTTTTACAATTTTAATACGACGAGGGTGTTAAAACCGCCCTTTTTTGTTGGAATTAGCCGGAGCGACCACATGACATCATCACCCCGTAATTCATCTTGCCTAAGAAAGGGACCGGCAGCGAAACGGGCGCCCTAAAACTCACCCCGTAAGTATCGCGCTGCTCCGAGATGACTTTTATCACTTTTTAAAAAAAATTTTTTCTCACTTGGACACGACATCGCCGCTTCTTTTCGGTGCTAAACGCTCTTCCTGTCTCCTTGCAGCTCAGAAACCACCTCACAGCTCATTGGAAGAGCCAACACCCTCCCGGAGACCCAACCCCGGCAAAGAAAAAACGTGACGGTAAATCCGACGTTTCCTTTTCTCTCAATTCCCGCCCTCAATTTGAGGATGGAAAGGTTTGGGGTAGCTCTACGCAAATTAAAATCAGGAAAAAAACAGATTTTTTTTTTTTTTTGCATCCCTACGACATATTTTTTTGGGGGGGG